CCATCTCCACTGTCTTCAGACCGCTGAGCTCGAGGTTGTTTTGGCTGCACCAGTTCACCAGATGGTTAACATCCCACCTGTAGGCGGACTCGTCACCATCAGAGATGAGACCAATGAGAGTGGTGTCGTCCACAAACTTCAGAACTTGACAGACTGGTGGCTGGAGGAGCAGCTGTTTGTGTACAGGGAGAAGAGCAGAGGAGAAAGAACACAGCTTCACACGCTGCTTCCTGTCAGACAGGAAGTCAGTGATCCACCTGCAGGTGGAGTCAGGCACACTCAGCAGGGAGAGCTTCTCCTGGTGCAGAGCTGGGATGATGTTGTTGAAAGCAGAGCTGAAATCCACAAACAGGATCCTGGCGTAGGTTCGAGCAGAGTCCAGGGGCCTCATTTATCAACCGTGCGTAGAAAAGGTTCTAAATTCTGTCGTACGAATGAAACTTAGAATGTGTGTAAGTACAAAAAAATCTGCAATTATCAAACGTGCTGACACCGGTCGTACGCACACTTGTAAGTAATCAGTGATGATAAATCCCACCCGTTCTTAACTACCATGCTCTTGCATGGTTAGGGTCATTTGCATTCAGAAACGCCTCCAATTGACCATATATGGCAGCAACACTCCCTTTAATAACGCGTGAATGGATTTTTTCCCCCTCACCGAAATCATGGCAACGAGGGCGAAGAAGAGGAATTTCTCGGACACCGAGATTGAGGTACTTGTGGGAGAAGTGGAAACTAACCAAAAAATATTATTTGGAACACTTAATGCAGGTGTGACCAACAAAAGAAAAATTGCTACATGGGAGAAAGTTACGACTGCTGTGAATTCCGTTGGGTCAGAGGGAAGATCACTCTCGGAAAAAAAAAAAAAAATGGTTTGATAATAAAATTAGAGCCAAAACACGCGTCACAGCCCACAGACAAGCAATATCTGCAACTGGAGAAGGACAATCAACAACCCAGCTATCACCCATGGACACCCGTATTGCCAGCATCATCGGCGACACAGCWCTTTGTGGCGTTATTCCTGATGGAGATACAGATACTCTCCCATCACAACAAGCTGTACCATCAACCAGTCATACTGCAGGTAAAATAAAAAGCTGGACTGAGGTGTTTCATAAATATTTATTTAATTCAATTCAATTCAATTTTATTTATATAGCGCCAATTCATAATTTACAATATCTCAAGGCACTTTACATTTAGACAGTTTAACTTGTGAATTTGAAATAAACCAAACGTGACAATAATGTGATGTTTCTTCAATAACTCAGAAACTCAAGCCAGTCCCGCCTGCCCTCAGGAGCCGGAGGCGGTAGAGGAGCTGGGGGAGTCGGAAGAACAGGACCAGCCGGGGCCATCCAGAACCCATTCGGTGCCTCCTGGGGGGGCGAGAGTGCTGACGGAGGCAGTGCTACAAAATCAACAAGACACCACCAATTCCATAAATGAAATAAAGGATCAGCTGACAAACATCACAAATACGTTACTGGAAGTAAATGACTCATTGAAACAAATTGCTGCAAGTGCATTGCAAATGTTCAATAAATAAACTTTAAAATGTTGAATGATGTTGAGATTATTTTCCCACGCACGCTTTCGATTTTTAATTTCTCACTTTTCAAAGATCGGCTAACAGGCAGGCTTACCTAAAATCTCTGTATGATCCTCTCTCTTGTTTGAATGGCAGCAGCATTGGGKGGTGGGAAAGGCTCTGCGTTGGGCATGGGCTCGTCTGCTCTGGGGGGTTCCTGCAGAGGGACGCCTTGTCTGATGGCTAAATTATGCAGCACACAGCAAGCCAAGATGATGTGGCAGACTTTTTCAGGTTTATATTGAAGTGTCCCCCCCGCGCTGGACAAGCGCAGCCATCGGCCTTTTAGCAGGCCTATTGCGCGTTCAACTACTGTTCTTGAGCGCGCATGGGCCCGGTTGTAGTGCTGCTCCTGCDGGGTCCTCGGGTTGGTTACGGGGGTCATCAGCCACGGCTTTGATGGATATCCCCGATCACCTATAGAGATGTTTTAATAAACCATACGAAGCCCAGAAAATAATTTTTGAAATGTTGTAACACTCACTAATAAGCCAGCCATCCTCAACAGCTCCTGCTTGGAGGTGCACACCCACAGAGCTGTTCTGCAGAATGAATGAGTCGTGCGTTCCTCCAGGCCACCGGGCAACAACGTTTAACAGAGACATAGTTGCATCGCAGATTATTTGTGCATTGATTGAATGAAACCCTTTCCTGTTTACGTAACTGAATATATTTTGTGTTGGTGCTTTTATTGCTATGTGGGTGCAATCTATGGCTCCAATTATGTTTGGGAATCCGGCGATGGTGTAAAATCCTCGTTTAATTTCGGCTTGTTGGTGATGTCTGTATGGGAACTGGATGTAAGTTGGGGCCAGAGAAATTATTGCATCCAACACTGCCGGCATGATTCTGCTTAGTGTCGGCTGCGAAATGCCGCATATGTCTCCAATCTCTCRTTGAAATGTTCCAGTGGCCAAAAATCCCAGGGTGGACAGGAGCTGGATGTGCACTGGGATGGCTTTGGTGCATTTTGTCTCTTGCTCCAACATGGGTTGTAAATCACGGCATAAATCCATTAATATATTTTTGGGGAAGCGGTACCGGCTGAGAAGCCACTCTGTGTTCTCACTGAACAGATCAGCACGCTTTTTGAAAACACGCTCCCTGCGGAGTGCACGGTTCTCCAAATCCTCCAATAGAGCAAGATAAGCCATGCTTGTATTTCAAGTTTTCTGTTYAGGTTGTCCTGTCACAGCTGTCTTTTATAGCTTGTCACACCAATCATTCAAAATATCTGCTAAATTACTTATTGAGATTTTTTATTAATTAGAGRAAACAGGGAACATGTGGGAAGTTTGAGATTGCTGAACACCGTGACTCCTTTAATGGTATCTATTTGTAGTTCTACTGTTCTACTGTACCACTAGATTTTGTGTGTACGCATGGTCAGAGCTGTGCTTAAATTTACGCACGTTCCTAAGCACAGGTACAAGTTGATAAATTCCATACTTTGCATGGGAATGTTCTTACGCACTCATTACGCACACATCTGCACGTACGCACGGTTGATAAATGAGGCCCCCGGTGCTGGAGGATGTAGTGGAGGGCCAAGTTGACTGCATCGTCTACTGACCTGTTGGCTCTGTAGGCAAACTGCAGGGGTCCAGGAGGGGGTCGGTGATGTCTTTCAGGTGTGAAGCACAAGGTGCTCAAAGGACTTCATAACCACAGAGGTCAGGGCGACGGGTCTGAAATCGTTAAGGTCTGTGGTCCTTGGCTTCTTGGGGACAGGAATGATTGTTGAGGACTTGAAACAGGCTGGCACATGGCATGTCTCCAGTGAGGAGTTGAAAATGTCTGTGAACACTGGAGACAGCTGATCAGCGCAGTGCTTCAAAGTAAGTTTAGTAAGTTTAGTAAATAAGTTAAGTTAAGATTAGATAAGTTAAGATAAGATAAGTTAAGATAAGTTAAGATAAGATAAGATAAGTTAAGATAAGATAAGTTAAGATAAGATAAGTTAAGATAAGTTAAGATAAGATAAGATAAGATA